ATCCAAGGCACAAGTGTCCATCCATTCAATATGTAAATAAGAAAGTCATTACTATGCTAGTAAAATTATAATAATTAATAATAATAATTAAATTAAATAAATCAAGTTACCATTCGAACAAAAAAACAACTGCAAATCACAGAACTTTTATGCTTTATTGTAAAAGCATCTGTATTAAAAATTCGATTTTTTGGAGAATTCCAATGTTTGATAATATTTATATATTTAAAAAAAAGAAAACAACATATTAAATAAACAATATTTATATATTAAACAACATTTTTAGACATAACAGTTTTAATTCTGTTATTTTACATCGAACACACCACTGACAAGTTTTATTAAATGTCATGTTCAGGTTAATGACGATATATATATATATATATATATATATATATATATATATATATATATATATATATATATAAATCTCTCTTTAATATATGTTTCAATCACTTACCACATACCAGTTATTATAGTACTATAACAACGATAAATAATCCTTGAAAATGGCTCATAATTTAGCCGAATGCAGAATAAATGTTACGACACTTTTTACATTCATTAAGTCCAGAAAAAAAAACACTTGCACATACAAGTAAAATGTAATAAAACTAAAAAAAACTACTTTGTCAGTCTTGTTCGACAAAATATATACATATGTTTGTTTGTGTATGTGTATGGTACATATTACGTCTTACATATGTGGATTTCTTTTACATATACACAAACATGATAACATATATTGATAGATACACAATTACTGATAAAATACACATATACAGATATGTTCACAGAGCTTTAAGTACACTTATGATTCTATCTTTCACGCACACACATCCACCACGTGCACATATATAGACAAACATAAAAATATTGAATTATACATATACACACGCTGAAATATATGCTAGACGTGTGGTCATTGTGCTCACCCTGTCAACTGCTAAAATCCGCGCTGATGTGCGCCTCAGAGATGAAGAATGGTTAACGAGCTAGTCTATTGTTGTGTCGTGAGTTCAATCTCCACTGGGCGACCCATACTTGTAGCCTTGTGCCAAACTAAGTCAAGCTTAGTAATTTTTTTAAAAAAAATAATCAACGCAGATAAAAAATACCAAAACAGGTAAATGAAAAGTTGAGTCCCTCCCCACACACACAAAAAAGTGTCCTCGGTATTTGATGGCGTCCTTCCTGTGTGGTGCAAACTGACAAGTACTGGAGGTGGCGGGGGGTCAAAATAAATGGGAAAGACGGTTTATCATCAGTTGGTTAGTTAGTTGACTGGTCTCCCCGTTGGTTGGTAAACAGGTGAGAAGCTTTGGGCGAAAATGTAACTTAATGTGGAGAGTAAGGAGGAAGAGGATGGAGAGCAACTGGCCGCGTGCCGAGGAGCCAAACACGGTATTGAAAGTTAGAGGTTCCACTTCGGTTCGCTCTTGGAGAATCAATGTCATCATTGTCAGTATCATGATCGTTAATAAGAGTAAGATTACCTACCGTTTGCAACAGCAGTAGTATTATTACCATTACACTCGGTAGCAGAGTTAGAGATATCGATATTTTTATGTGGGTAGGCGGAAAGAGGGATGTATAGCAGAAAGAAAGAGAAGAAAAGAAAAGCAAGAAGGAGAAAAGAAAGATGTTGGAATTAACATTATCATTATAAAAAATGTCATCATCATCATCATTAATAACAACATAAAAGCAAGAAAGGCGTTAATAATCTGAGGCTGTGTGCCGAGTTAATTGATTTTTAGTAAGCTAAACTTAGTCCAGCAAACTCTAAATGGAGAAGAAAATTGTGATGTAGCAAGATTGTATTGTGTCAGTCTTTCAAAGGGAGGGGTTCTTTCTTTTTTGCTCTTTTTCTTTTTTTCACTTTATTGTATTTTTGCGGGGGTACCTGGACTCGAACACAGATCACTAGCGCTGATAGAAAACACGTAACTACCACAAATGTGATGCACCTTTCTATCTATCTATCCTTTTTTTAATTCAAGCAAGACAATAAAGCCACTAAGATAAAAAACAGGAATTAAGAATTAAGAAAATAGATGATAACGATTGACATTACATTTAAATTTTTGAAAATTAAAGTTGACTAGAAAACAAGAAGCCGGGAGAAAGTTTCACAAGCGAGAAGTGCAAGTGAAGAAACTGTTAGCATAGAACTTACGTTTACATCTAGCGATTTCACCCTGTGTCTTTTCTATAATTATTTTCATGGTACTTGTTCTCTTGATATTTCCTCTTTGGTACTTGAACTTTATGAATTTAAGAGTGCTACTAGATTGGCGGCAAATTCTATCTATCTTTCTATCCACTAAGTACATGTTCATCTCACAACAGTACGACAACAGTACTACAACAGCGAACAACTTTAAAGTGTTATGTGCTACGCCTGGTTACCATGTTAATATGGTCTCCTTGATATTCTATAACCTTCATCAGACTTTGATGATTGATTTTGTTAACATTTCTACTTTTTTGACTTGTA